TACTCCCTTTCTAGCTAACTACTAGCTTCTTCTAGGAACCCTTCCCTGCCTCCTAGACTCATTTGGCACCCCTGTTGTAGACTTCCATGGCCCCCTACTTCTCCTCTTAGCATTCTGAGGGATGTTTTAAAACTCTCACCACAGTCCCCTGACAGTGTCTGCCATATGCTCTCTTGTTGTTCTTCCCACTTTGCCAGTATTCTCAATTGCCCTGTGATGTGGGACTCAATTTGGAGACATGGAGACAGCCCTCTTTAAGACAAAATCCACAGCCTAAGTCCACTCTACTACTGAATTCTTGAATATTCTTCCAAGATGCCTCCAACCTGTTCTGTGGGAAGGGAGGATGGGGACAAAGCAAATGGTCTCTCTCTTCATCTTCTGCTTGAAGAGATTTTCTGACTGGGGTGAAAAGGAGACTGTAGGGTTGGGTAGGCAGGGGAGAGCCTGGGACCCTTGGCCAATGCATATTCAAATTTATTTCCTACTATCTGTGGACAGTGCCCTAGACTCTAAATTTGGTATCTGGCTGATAATGTTCTCTGGGAACACATGATAGCCTGTGTTTCCTGGTCCAGTGGAGGATGGAACAGTGAATAAGGAAAATTATTACTGGTTATTAGCTCAAATTATTGTTTGGTTACACATATGTCATACTTAATGTAATTATATGTCCAGGGTCATTTTCCCTATCAAACTGAAAACTCTATGAGTAAACATTTGAACATTTTTCTATGTTTGGAAGAAAAGATAGATTTTTTTTAATGCTTAACCTCACTTATAGTGAATAAAATAAAAATCAAAACAATAGTGTAATACCAGTTTTCATTAACTAAATTAACCAAGATTGTTTTAAAATTTTCTAATTATTGTGCTTCTGTAAACTTTGTAAGTGTTTTTCATGTTTTCTTCATGCCTCACTTTGGAGTTAGAAAATAAGCCCTCAGAAACAAGCCCCAGTCAGCCCCTCCTCCATGGAGAAGATGACAGTGACCCCAGGGATTGAGCCTGTGGCTTGTCTGCAGATGCCCTGCGGGCCTGGTCACTTGTAGCCTGTCATGCCGAGTTCTGTAGTCTGCCCTCGGGAACCATACTTCTCTGACTGTAAGTCAGCACGCTGGTATTAATCCTCAAGCCTTTGTGCTCTGATTTCTGGTTTCTTTCCTTGAACATCATTACTCACTTCAAGTTCTCCTAAGGTATTCTTTCCTACAAAGAGACTTTGACTTGAAGCATCTCGAGACAGAGATGTTTCTTAGGTTTTAGGAATTTGTTTGTCTTTTCTGTTTGGTTTAATAAAAGTCAGTCAACCTTCAGATTGGCTTCAGAACAGGATTCCAGGGCAATTTATTTAAGGTGCCTTCTGTTGGGCTTATATATACCAGAGTTAGGAATGAAGGCTTATAAGAATGTATTACCATGGACCTGCTCTGATTATTATTTGGGAGTGAAGCTGTTCATAAGGTTGGTTGTTCAGTATGGCTTTATAAATCCTGGGATGACAGCAGGTAGTATACAAAATGAGTTCAAGTCCAGCTGTCCAGACATGGGTAGTTCCATTTGTGTGTGAGGTTAAACTGTAAACTAACATGGGTTAATGTGATTATGCTAAACTGTAAACTAACATAAGTTAATGTGATTTTTCTTTTTTATTATTTTTGAAAAATATTTGTTTATTTATGCATACAGAACTGGGGTACAGGCCAGAGGTGCAGGAGCAGTGAGAGGATTCACCAGAGACAGAGTGGGGAGTAGAACAGAAGTATACTGCTGAGGCGGGCCAGGAGAGGTCTGCTGTGCCATGTGGGTCACCTCTGGGGCTGGGATTGAACTCATGCTGAAGTGGCTTTAGCTTCATAGTGCCTTAATCTGCTGCGCCACCAGGGAGGACCTGTGATTATTCTTTTTTAAAAATCTGCAGTTACTTTATATGTTCAGGTGTCATTTATTAAGTTTTCCTTTGCCTCTATGTGCTTACTCTATCATACAATGTGATAGGTCTGACAAGTGATCCAGTATCTTCTAGTGATTTAATGTGGGACCTTGGATAGAGGCAGGGACCATGAGAGTTTTTGAAATCTGAAATTCTTGCACCTTTTGGTAAGCTGTAAACAAAAATATGATGCAGGCAGTCATGTCTGCTTTCTGAACTCCAGTGAGTGAGACTTGGTTAGAATTTGAGGGTGCAAGGTATCCTTACAATGTCAGGCAAATAGAAACAAAGAGGGAGGACCTGGGCAAGAGAAGGACCAGGATAAAACCTGCTAAGGGGAGATGGGGTGTCAGGGAAAAGAGGTGGTCTTAAGAGTAATGCAAAGTAATATAAGATAAAGAATTAAAAAGACCATTAGATTTGGCAGCCAAGCCCTTCCTGGTGGCACAACGGGTTAGGATGCAGCACTGCAAGCTGTCTGCAGTTGCTTCAGGGTGAGTTCGTTCGATTCCCAGCCTATGAGGTGACCCACATGGTGCAGCAGACCTCTCCTGACCCGCCCGCTTCTCCCCTCAGCAGTGTACCCTGTCGATATCTGCCTGTTCTGCTCCCCACTCTGTCTCTGGTGAATCCTCTCACCACCCCTGCACCTCTGGCTTGTACCCCAGTTCTGTATGTATAAATAAATAAATCTTTTTAAATAAAAAAATAATTTGGCAGTCAGAGACAATATCAGCAGAATTCTGGAAGTCCAAGGGAGATTACAATGAACAGTCAGGGAAACAAGAAACTTGGATAGTGAAGGAAAGAGAAGAATGGGATGACTGCAGAGAAAAGCTTTTGGGTGAGCTTAGGTAATCCTGAGCATATTTGAAAGTTGAAGTCAAGGAGAAGGAAGAGAGATCAGGTAAAACATGCAATAGTGTTGAAATCAAATTGAAAATTGGATCAAGAATATTTCAAACTGAGAGGAGAAGAAAGGTAATAAAAATGGATAAACAGAAATTTTGAGGATACTAGAAGGAATCAAAGGTCTGATGCGTAGGGACTAAAAAAAAGGAGATGAGACAGCATAGGCAGAGTTGGAAGGACAGTCAGGGTGGAGCTGTGACTGGGAAGATTAAGGGTTTAGAAGAAGCTGCTCTGTGATTAGGAAGGACTGTCTATAACCTAACACTTGTTTCCGTTAGCAGCAATTAATATGTATTACACTCCTCATTCAAACAGCTTCTAGAGATCCCCAAGATTAGATAAATCCATAAATATTTATTTATTGTACCCACAGAACACTCCAGAGATCTGCTTACTTTCTCTTCAAAGCATCCCCTGGGTGATTATGCTTTTTCATTTCTCTAATTGCATACTAGAGAAAGCTTCAGTCAGATGCAACTAGATTTTAGACCACTGAACATCTGCAGGTCTTGTTGTTGCGTGCCTGAGCCCAGAACTTTCTGTAAATGATTGCTTTAAAGAGGAAGAGGCCATGGCTTTTCATGTAATGGAACTTTGCGTTGGTACTGTTTTCAATCCTAACATGTATGCACTCATCAAGGTAATCATAAAACAGTCCCCTCCATTTGCTCTAGCAACTTTCAAAGCTTCTTAAATTCTTTTCTACATAGCTAGGAACTGTGTTCTTGGCACTCTGAGGAGGGCACAGGAAAATAAATAAATAAGTAAAAAGGTTGACACTATGTAGAAGAAGCCACAAACAAAATCAGGGGAAAGTAGCCTCCAGACAATCATTAGCTCCTTTGTAATTCACTGAAGGGCTGCCACAAGGATTAATTTGGCTCATAGAGTATCAGTTTTTCCCCAAGAGTCTGGATATAATATGAAGTTCCCAATTTCAGAGAAGGTTCAGGGCCCATAGTTTGTGGGCTACTAGAAAACTCAGTATATTTGAGAGGGACTAGCTTCTTCAACTTCTAGAGTGGCTGGAAAAGTCCTGGGCAGCTTGTTGAGTGTCTGTGGGGATGCTGGATGTGGGGTTGAAATCTGCTTTGTGTCAGGGGACGTCTCAGATGACCTACAGTTTAGAAGGAGCTTAAGCCCTGGGGTTTAGAGGAAAGACCTGTTTTAATAGATTTCAGGAGGCAGATATTCTGTTTCATTGACAATAATTTTTTAGTGGAAATCTTGCTAGAAATCCCAATCTCTAATCTACAGGACTTCGAGGCGAAATAATAATTATCTGCACCACAGCAAACAGTGCTTTCCAACAGTGCTTTGAGCCCTCACGGGGGCACGAGCCCTTAGCACTGGACCTCTTGCTGCTCTTGCTGTGAGCTTTCGTGCATTTTCTCTCACCTTCGGGATGTAGCATGACAAATGGCACTTGGAATATAATTATCAATTAAAAAACTACCCAGGAAGTTTCACCTCAAATGGGCACTAAACACAATCAACTCTTTAATTGAAGGATGCCTATTAAATGGCTGAGAACAAGAAACAAGGCTGACCATACCAGACAACTTGTCTTATGACTATAATTACAGCGGGTACCACAGAGTTTCTATAAATTAGGTATTGGGTCACGGCAGGGACTTTTTAACTCCCAACACTTCTTTATGACTTTACTCCTGGTTAAAGACCAACAACTCAACCCAATTAACCACTAACCCTGATGCCCAAGATTGCCAGAGGGGCTCTGGAAAGCTCACATGTATAGCAGCCCCATGAATGGGATACACTGTATACTAGAATTCTGGGTGCTCTTAGAAAAATGCTTACAGCATCAATTAAACTGTTCCTGTTAGTCTGACAGTCCTTGCTCTACCCCTGGCAAGTATGTATCACATGCTGCCATAGTACTTGAAGGTCATTCAACTGCAAAGGGATAAAAACTCAATTGCTGTGCTGGGCCCTGCCATTTGCTAACAGCCTCAAACGCACAATTTGCACAGGTCCCAAGCTTCTACTTTACTGACATATTCTGCCTTTGGGCGACTCTCCAGCTGTCTGTGCCGCAGTGGTGGTAATTGCAATCTCTTCTACCCTTTGATGTCGTGATGAGACTCGGTACTCTCAGCATCCATGCCATCTCTGTGCTCTCTGCCCTCTCCAGACTGCCATCCTCTGTGCCAGCACTGTGTGGCTGATCTCCACCACACCGGGAGCATCTGCCTGAGGTGCCAGAATGCCCGCTACCTGCTGCTGGGAGACCACTGTGTTTCCACTTGCCCTTCTGGGTACTATGTAGAGAAAGGAGCGTGTAAAAGTGAGTAAGTGCTGATACAGGCGCGGCGGGGCTCCTGAGCTTCCCTTTGGGGCAGATGCAGAGAAGGCTGCAGCTTCCCCAGAGACAGGAGGCAGAAAGTGCACTGTGGGCCAATAAACCAGAGCAGCTCGTGCTCTCAGTGTTGGGGCTTTTGTTACTGGTTCTTGGGGTGTGGGTTTGGAAGGAAATTTGGTTTCATAGTTTCCCTTTTTCCTTCTGCAGAATGTCATGCTTCCTGCAGAACCTGCCAAGGCAGAGGACCCTTCTCCTGCTCTTCATGTGACTCGGACCTTGTTCTGTCCCACCTTGGCACCTGCAGTACCAGCTGCTTCCCAGGGCACTATCTTGATGACAACCGTACTTGTCAGCGTAGGTGTTAATCATGAAGTTTCTTTTCTTTTGCACTCTTCTGGAGTCATCAAAGGAAAGTGGGAAAGTGAAGTTCCTGCTTTCTTATTCTCACTGGTGGCCTTTATTATTTTTAATGAAACTTTTTTTTTTAAGATTTATTTATGTATACAAGAACTGGGGTAGAGGCCAGAGGTGCAGCGGCAGTGAGAGGCTTCACCGGAGACAGTGAACAGCAGAAAAGGCACATGAACAAAGTACACTTCTGAGGGGAGCAGCAGGCAGGTCACGAGAGGTCTCCTGCACCATGTGGATCACCTCCGGGGTTGGGGATTGAACTCACACTGAAGTGGCTGCAGCTAGCTTGCAGTGCTGAGCTTTAACCCGCTGTGGTGGCCTTTATTTTTATAAAAAGAAAAAAGTTAATTTGCTACGGCATATGGATGCCATACGAGATTTTAATTCGGATATTAGCCTGTTTGGAAGGGCTGTGGTTGGAATCTCCTCTGTAAGTACCAGCTGTGACCTTAGGCCAGTCACTTAACTTCTCTGTTCTCTGGTTGTCTCACTTGAAAATTAAAGTATTTAGCCTGTTTCACTTTCATAATTTTTCCTCAACAATTCAATTCCAAGATCCTGAGCAGAGAACTTATTCTAGTATACAATCAGAAATCTAATTCTCTGGATTTAATTTGTTTCTGACATGTGTTTGTTGTATATTGACAATATGCAGAGCTTAAAGTGCTATAAAGCTTTCAGTTTCTGCCCAAACAATAGTTATTTTGTCTCCTCTGAGTGTCACCTGTAAAGACGTCTTACTTCTCAAATAAGTCAAAATATAATTAATTCCCTCAGTTATGCACAAAGAGTTTAGATTAATTAGGGAAAGGTCAAATGTTAGTGCAAAAATAAGAAATCCTGGGCCCTCCCTGGTAGCGCAGCAGGTTACAGCACTGCACTGAGAAGCTAAATCCAGGTCTGCATGAGTTTGATTCCTGTCTGTCCCGGAAGTGACCACGTGGCGTGGCAGATCTCCCCTGACCCGCCCGCTGCTCCCCTCAGCAGTGTACTTCATCAATCTACCTGTTCTGCTCCCCACTCTGTCTCTGGTGAAGCCTCTCGCCACCCCTGAGCCTCTGTCCTGTACCCCAGTTCTGTATGTACAAATAAATAAATCTTAAAAAAAAGAAAGAAAGAAAGAAAGAAAGAAATCCTTTACAGATGAAGCAACATTTTGAGATAAGCTGAGGTGGCTTACTTTATTTTGGTAACTAACGTATCATTGCAAAAAAAAAAAAAATTCAAAAACTATTATATTGTCTCCTTTTGAAAGTGACAACTAACAGTGCTAGTATTTCAATTCTGTTTCCTAAGAAGTACCATGTTACTTACTTCATCTGTAGGAGTAGTTTAGGAGTGTGGCCTTTGTAGTCAGGTGACTAAAATGCAAATCAGAACTGCCACTTACTAGCTTTATGACCTTAAACAAGTAAATTAACTTGTAGGACTCCTTTTTGTTTTCTTTAAAGGGACATTATAATAGTACCAGCATCTAATGTTATTGCATGAAGACCCTAGCTGAGAATAAGCCTTCAGTATAGATTAGCTATAGTTATCATCATCTGGAATGAGAAGCAAATCAAGCAGAAAAAGGCACTTCTATTTTATAGATAGAAAGATATTACTGCTAGTTTATTGAGATGCCTGCAAAGATTTGCATTTGAAATGAAGTTATATGGAACTTACTGTTTTGCATCATCTGTTGAAATTCCAGAGATAAAAATACTTTTTAACCAATGAAAAGATTTCTATACTTTTGCAATAAAAACTTTGCTTGGTATATATCAACTGTCTGCCAGAATCTGTAGATTCTATAACACAGGAGACACAAATGAAATAGTTGCATGTTCTATTCAAGAGCAAGAGAGTATTGGTAGAGAAATAGTGACTTAGATTTATGAGGCTCTTCACCGCAGTGGAATCACAGAAATAAAAGTTCAAAAGAAAAAATAGAATATTTTATATGGAGTATAGGTGACAAAAATACATTGCATTGAAATATTTGTCTTCTGGAAGCTTTTGCCTTGGTGAATGGTAATCTCTGCTCAAATGCTTTTCCTCTGCTACCATGTAAATAAGATTTTATATACTATTTCAGTTGACTCAAGGTCCTTTAACTTCAGTCCCTTCCTAAAGCTTAAGTTTTTGTTCTTTCCAATATTGGGTAAAGTTTCTAAATTGGAATTTGTCTTTCTAGTATATAAAACAAAAGTCAACAGTGCCCCTTTCAAATGCTCGTCATTACAGACAGTTATAGCTGACAGTTTTAGAAGTTGTTCAACAAAGGAAAAATAAGGAATTATAATCAGTAGTAAAGGGAGGTAGAATCACTGTCTTAGGGAAGTAAGAGCTGAAGAGTCTAGAGTATGGTTACAGAAACTTTAGAAATTATAAACTGAGCTCTAAAATTGAAAGATGACCAGTTGAGGCAGGACCTTTTAAAAAAGAGTGATGAATAGTGAAGTACTTGAACCCATCAGCTTCAGATTAGGCAAGAACCCCAAGCCAGTCTTGTACCAAGTACAGAGGTTTTTCTCACTCTTACTCCAGAACTTCTACAGATGAGGAAGAAGGCAGGTTACATTATTGGGGGACAGTATGCGGTGTGGTTGTTTAACATTTTTTTGCTGTGGCACCACATTCCCTCTGGAACAATACAGAACAAATCTCCCCCATTCACAGGACTGACCTCAAAGTTTGAACTTAACTGTGTCATTTCCTACTTAAATATCTCAACTCCAAGCAGAACTGGAGTTCATAGAGTACTTAAGCAGAGTTAGGTGACCATGGCTCCAAGCTGCTGTAGGAAACAGACTTGTTTAAGATGTAGGCTGGAATTTAGTAACTTGGAAGCCCCTCTCCTCTAATAATGGCTGAGCACTAGCACATCCCTGCTTCCTTCCTGGTTTCTCATCCACTGCCCACCTTTGCTGTCCTCTTGACACTGGCTGCGGGGTCATTGACCTCAGAAGTACACATGGCGTTCCAGGTGTGGTCTTACTAGCATGAGTACAAGAGGCCCCTTGTAGTTTTGAGATCTTCTGCTGCTTACTCAGATTCCTCTGGAGATGGAGGTGTGTGTGTGCAGAACTGCACTGAGTGAGACCAGATCATTTGTGGATTCCCTTGGAGAGGGATGAGGTTAGATGAAAGAGGAACAAGGGTTCAAATTGACATGTGGGAGCATCTTGTTCCTCAGTACGGGGCGACTGTGTCCCTCCCAAAAGCATTCTGTAGTTTCAAAATGCTCAATATGAATCCACTTCTTTTGAAAGTCAGTGAAAGGAGACTGAGTTATATATGGAGCAACAAAAAAGATTGAAAAGTGACATAGACGGACTCAAGGACGTGGCGGTTGATAGAAGCTTGAGGACATTACAGGGAGCTGTCAGCACTCAGTCCAGCCTGAGAAGTTGGCATTAGGGTCTGGTTTTCAGTAGCTCCATGTCAGCAATTGGGCCAGCTTGCTTAGGCTTCAGGAAAGTTCTTCAGCATAAGATTATGTGATATCCTTTAGTGTCCATATCACACTTTTAGTAAACTTTTAATCAACTGAAAGTCTTAAATCACGTTTTATAGGAACTGCCGTCTAACTAGGTCTTCCATATGCTCTGTCTGTACATTGAGTTATGGAACATAAATGCAGTTTACTTATAGTTGCTCATTTCATCTAATTACTTCAAGTTTATTACTTCAATTTGCTAAAGTAAGTTTGAATTGTTCTTCCAGCTGGTGAAACTTAATTATGTATGTTTTCAAAGAGTACGTGGCATATTTAAATATTATTAGCATGATTCATTGTTTTCATTAAAATCATTAATAAAATATTGATAAAGTAAATAATTAAGACTTGATCATAATGCTCTACCAAAAATTATTTTTTAACCAATTTAAAAGATTTACTTGTCACTTTTGAGTAAGCATTGCAATCATGTTTAACTCCATCTACAATTAATCCATCTACAACTAGACCCTACCCCATTTTAAATTCTCAGCTTTACCTTTGGGATCTTTGTCAAGCACCTTCCCAAAATTATGGTGTACCATATGTAGAAATCCTGTCCAAAAGAAGAATAAAAATTTAGTATCATTTAAGTTTCCAACAATTAAAATTTCTTCTCTAATTATTTCCAAATTTGTTTGAAAATCCAATTTAGCATTTTTCGAAATGAATCTACATAGTTTAGTGAATATTTGCTCTAATAGTTTTCCTTGTAGGTGAACGAAAAGTTTTTCATTTACAGGGAGGTAATTTTCCTAAATTGTGCACATGCTCTGATATCCCATAGATGTATAACTCATGTGATCTCTCTCTAGACTTTTCTCCTGATGCACACTTACAGAAGATTTCAGAGTAGAGCAGAGATGCTAGCTAGCATCTGAGTATACATCATTGCAATATCTGGTTTCTTCCATTTATGGCTAGTGTTTATTGAACACCTATAATTTGATAATTAACCAGCTAGGTGCTGGAGACTCCTGCAATGAACAAAGCAAGCCTGGTTCTTTACTTTCATGAAGCTTATAGCTTAAAAGATACAGGTGCTTAATAACCACCTACATAAAAATCCTCGTGTTTGACATGAAAGGAACGTGTAGAGAAATAGAAGAGCCGTAACTAGTAGACTGTTTCAGACTAGAGAACAAAGGACGGCTTTGCTCTTTCTAAAAATCATTTATTTATATTTTTCATCATTGTTCATTTTTGCACAATGTAAGCTTTCTCCTTTAAGGTGTAGCCCCTGTAAAATACCCACCATCAGTTCGCTCGTGCACCATCCTCATAGTCTCTTGTCCTCTTCCGTCCCTTGTCTTGAGTCCTCTTCCTCCCTTTCTGCCCTCTGCAGAATGTCTCTGATTTGTAATTGCCTGTTCATTTTGTTTTTGTATTGATTTATTTTTCCTGATCCCTAACTTGGTTACCCCAAAAAGAAGAATGAATCAGAGTTCAAGAGAAGAGACTTGGAGATTATATTGAGATATTTTGAATAAGCATATTAAAATTTCTAGGTAGAAAAAAATGGAAGGAATGATGGAGGAGCTGCAGCTGCAAAGATGATAGCTGGAAGTTTTCCAGGATGGAAGGAAGATAGGTTCGTAAATGAAAGTGTTCTCTGAAACCTGAGCACTACACATTTTAAAAATGACTTGGTGTATACTTGGGAAGTAGAACACAGGGAGGTCAGACTGGAGCTGGGGAAACAGGCTGGAAGCTAGGATAGTGTCCATCAGAGGTGATGACAGCTTGATGTGCTGGCATTTGTGGATGTGGAGACAGCAAAGAGTGCTGAGAACAATATGAGAGTTCGAATAAATAGGGTCCCATGAGTGACTTGAGGAGACAAAAAGAGGTGTCAAGATGAATTCCAAGGTTTAACAACTGAGTGGAGAGAGAAAAAACAGTTGTCAGATTAAAAAAGAGAGAAGTGTGAGCACATCTATGGGGCTCATCCCCAAAAGCCCGAGTTAAATGACTCCTAAGAACTCTGGCTGGACAGATTCCTTAGCAGGTCACCATAAAGTCCTTTGTGTCTCAAAATACGAGATGTCCTGAGCTCCACAATGAAGTTGGTGTCTAATCATCATCTTTGCATTTCATAGAAGTCTGAATCTACACAGTGAGCTGTGTCAAGTTCTTGCTTCTTTAAGAAATACATTTCAAACAAAACGGTAGACTTACTCTAGAGATCTTGGAGTAAATATAAATTCTGTTGGAGGTGGGGGTCTGTTCAGTTATAATTTATCTTTTCTGGAAAATATGGTTCCCCTTTTTATTTTGGACAATAAGAATAACATTTTCTATTTCTGTTCATCACAGGGGAGGCTTATGAACCACCATTAAACTACAGTTTGGATCAGGCTTTGTTCCTTGGCAGCATCTGTCTAGGTTTGATCAGGACGTCAGTATTTGCAATTGTAATCATCTGGTCATTTTCTTTTCCTATCTGCTCAGCATGCAAGGCACAGTGCAGAAGCTGTGATTCACAGGCGAGCTGTACCTCCTGCCGAGATCCAAACAAGGTCCTGCTCTTTGGAGAATGTCAGTATGAGAGCTGTGCCCCCCAATACTATCTTGACTTCTCCACTAACACCTGCAAAGGTAAAGCTCTTCCTGAATTGCATAGCATTTCTTTTAGTGGGCTATGCCCTTTCCCTCTAGTTGTCCACAGTGGGAAAATAGCAAAAATTATGTATAACCAGAAACTGTGTGTGTCTGTTACTTCATTAATATATTTATTGAGCAAATATTTTTGAGCACCTGCTTTGTGCAAGATACAATAATGAGACTAAAGATATGACAAACTGGAGCCCCTTCCATTTGTATTTGGCCCTAAATACTCTCGGCCCACCTAAATGTTCCAGTGTTTTAAATTTTTAATTATTTGTCTTTTAAAAATTAAAAAAAAAAACTTACAAATGAAAATGGAGAGTTTCTGTTCCTTTTGAATAGTCAGATGATCTGGCAATACTGGAGTTATACCCCCACAATGTAACAGTGGGGAGAGATGAGCAGCTATTGTAGCTAATCCCTTCTGTCATCACAGCCACCACCAGTCCCTACTTTACCACTCCAAAAACCTATTTAAAAGATTCTCATGACCTTCCTGAGCCCTGAAGGCACTTGCATTTACAACTTGAGATTGCTAGATGCTGAGCTTAATGAAAACAGAAGTTGTGTCCGATTTGTCTTCTCTACTGAATGTACTTAACTGAGTGGAGACCTAGTCCCTGCCTGCAAGGAGTTTAAAGGCCGTCATGTCAAAACCAAGTACTTTCCCCTCATTTTTTGGTGGTTGGGTATCTTGTGGTTTATGCTTTCGAAAGGCAGTGCACCAGGAGGAAAGAAAGTTAGTGGGTGGGTATTCCTCACCTCTCTTCCGTTTCCCTTCATTCCTCCATCCCGTGCTCCTCTGCCAAAAGAGCTAAGGCTCAAATATGAAGGTCAAGCCTCTGTCGAGTAAACTGGAAATGCTTTAAGGCTTTGCAAAATTGCTCACTTTCTATTCCAAGAAATTCTGCTGGCTCTGTCAACTTAGGTGGTCTGCTGCGCTCAAGACCACAGAAACCTTTCTATTTTTTCTCTTCTAACCAATGGCTGTCAGGTTGTGGTGAAAAACAAGATTATTGCAAATCCTCCCTGTTGTAAATGATTTCATAACTATGCTGGCAGTTTTCAAGGCTCTGTTTTAGTCATTCTCCCTCAGGACTGATTCAGTGAAATAAATGAGTGAGATTAACTTTATAAATCTTCTTGAAACACGTGTACTGTCTTGCACATTTACCTGCTTCTCTGGGACCTAGAAGTACTGCATCAAGAAAGAGAAAGGCGAGCAGGAAGTGTTCCCCAGCTTCTCAGTGAGGGGGGGAGGGATAAGGCTGTCTTGCATGGAGATTTGTTCTCAAAAAAAGCAATGTGGCAGAAACATTTATTAAGCTGCTACTATGTGCTGGGCATATGCGAAGGTCTTAAATTCATTATTTCACTTAATTTTCACAGTAGCCTCATAGAATAGGTAGTATTCTTCTCTCTGTTTAATAGATAAGGAAACTGAGACTCAAAACAATTATGGAAGGTATGTGAAATACGCAGATAGAAAGTAACCAAGACATGACTTGAATACTTGCCTCACTTGGAAATCCAAGAGCTTAAATTTGCTGGCTGTTCTGTTTCCATGCATGAAGGATTTGCCTTACCTGCTAGAATTTTGGTTCTCAAATATAAGTTTTCTAACTGTATCAGGATCAACTGGGCCATGAAAAGTAATAATAACAACCACAGCCATAATACTCATAGTAACAGCACATTTTTTTGTGCCCCATACCCTGTGACAGCCTACAGAGTTCTGATGTAGAGCCCGAAAGCCTGTATTTCTCACAATCCTATTGGATCCTTTGGGTATACATCCAAGATTGGAACCCATAGAACATAAAGTTCTTGAGGTCAGGTCTGCAGCTAACACAACCGTCCCATTCAGGGTTGTGCATCTGATCGATGCATGTTGAGTAAATGAACATGTGTATAAGTCACTTCTACTCTCTATGAGATCTGCTGTTGCTTCAAGAAACCTTGTTTCTGGACAGTTCCTTAATGCTGTGTTCAATTTTCACATGTTTCATTTTTCTGCCATTGATCGACACCTGTTTTGGAGAGGTCAAGCTGACATCCTTTACCTTGGGACCTTGGAGGTGTGGGCCAATATCCTTTACCCATGGAACCTTGGAGGAGGTCGGGATTAGGTTTGCAGAGGCATATTGCCCTCTTTCAAGCAGGGCTTGCATGAAAATGCCATGACACAGAAATAAAAATGCTGGAGCTCATGGAATTAGATGAAGTTGATCTGGCTCTCAGCAGCCCCACTGACAAGCAGACTCTGTGCGAGCTTGGAGTGATCCCATGCGCCTGTGTCTAACATAATTATCAAACACTAAAACACAGAGCAGTGTTCAGACAGCTACAAGCCGAGCCTGGTTAGGGCTCACTATCTGACATCTCTCCTGTTGTCCTCACTTTACCTCTTGTAACTGCAGACAGTGTCCTCATAAATTAGCTGGCACTGAGGCAATGAGAAAGGATGCTGATCTCATTGGTCTTTCTTCCTAGAGTGCGACTGGAGCTGCAGTATATGCAGTGGGCCCCTGAGGACAGACTGCCTGCAGTGCATGGGTGGCTATGTCCTCCAGGACGGGGCCTGCGTGGAGCAGTGCGCATCAGCGTTTTATCGGGACTCGGGTGTCTGTAAGAGTAAGTGGGACTCCTGCTGCACACACTGTTACCCCAACTTCTGCCTCCTCTGATTTTTACTTCTCTGAGAGAAAGGCTATGGCTTGCTTCCCTTCTGTTTATTTTTTATCCAATTTCTGGTTTTCTTTGTTATAACAATCCTGACCTCCTTTCCTTCTCTCATACCCAAATACAATATTTGCTAAAATTTAAGGTCAGTATGGGAACCTTGAGGGGTATACGGTCAACTAAACACATAAGTCTGACCATTACTTTTGGTGTTCCCTAAAAATTGGACAGCCCGGACCCTCCTTGGTGGCGCAGTGGGTTAGGATGCAGCACTGCAAGCTGGTGCAGTTGCCTCAATGTGAGTTCGACCCCCGGCCCCGGAGGTGATCCACATGGCATGGCAGACCTCTTCTGACCTTCCCGCTGCTCCCCTCAGCAGTGTACTTGGTTGATCTGCCTGTCCTGCTCCCCATTCTGTCTCTGGTGAATCCTCTCACCACCCCTGCACCTCTGGCTTGCACCCCAGTTCTTGTATGCATAAATAAATAAATATTTTTTAAAAATTGGACAGCCCTATTCTCCAGGTGGGGAGGTCTATGAATCCTGACCTTTGGGCATGGAAAGACCCTCTTATTTCACAATCTGGTTCTCATCACCTCCACACACCCATATATCTACCCATCATCTTTCTCTGGCCAGTGTCCTTGAGTCTTAACTTAACAACACAAAATATTAAGATCCTGAAATACCAGAATGCTCAGATAACATTCCTGGTTGAGTCAGAAAAGACTGCAATCCAGTGAAGCAGTGTAGAGAGCTTAGCCCTGGCTATTAACAATAAGAATAAGAAAAGAATAACACTGTGTAATACCTGTCATTTTATAGTTTGCTAAGAATTTCCATCATCTAATATGATCTTTACCCAAGGAGCTGGGTGGAACAGTATGCCTACTTCCTCCCATTTTAGAGAAGAGAATAGAGGTTCCCAGAGGTCAAGTGAGTAACCCCAAGTCACCCAAGTGTACCAGTAGTTACAACAAGAAGGCTGGCTCTGGGCCTGCTACTCGCTATTCTGCCCTGCACACTAATGTTGGCAATTAATGTTGCCTCACTGCAGGCTAGGATCCCCTTGGGAAGCCGTACATGATCCTCTTGACTTTTGTCTTTTAGGTTGTGGCAACCACTGTCTTCAGTGCCAAGGTCCTCATGAGTGTACCCGCTGTGATGGGCCATTTCTTCTTTTGGAAGCCAAGTGTGTCCAGGAATGTGGGAAGGGGTACTTTGCCGATTATACAAATCACAAATGCACAGGTAACTTGGAGATTGTGCCAAGTGTTCTGGAAAACAGTGAGGTCAGCAAGTGAGTCTGGGGTACCAATTATTAAGTAATTAGGAACAGAATGAAAAACCAGAGTATTTGACCCACAGAATTGATGGTTTCCCATGTACATCTGACAATTGCTGGTTACATAGAATATAGAGGTGCAGGCCAGTAATTCTCTTGCACAAATCAATAGTGTCCCTATAGTCTTTATGGAAGCAAAGCCAATATTTTATGTAATGCAAAGCTCATGTTGAACTAAGGTGAGGTGTCTATTAAGAGCAGGTCAGTCCTATTGATATAGACATAGACTCTTCAATATGTGGACTACATCACTGGTGACCCTCATATCGACACAATATCTTTGAAGAGTAGGATATTAGGAGACAATTCAGTGAGACACACTAAATATCATTATTAAACTAAAGTTAAACCCAAAACCTTAAACTCCTTGTCCTTTGAATTATTGTGACCAAGTGCCCCACTTTAAAGAATATCTGACACTTAATACTAATGATCTCACATGATCCAGGCACAGAATTTTACATTCTACTCAGTTTCCTTTATCTGTATTATCTATTTACTATTCACATTGGCCAGCCAAATATGGTGGACTCTGCAAGTCCTATTTTGCCAGGGAGGAAAAGGAAAGAGGCTTAAGACATGAACCAGGGTGACAAAAAATCTGATAGTAAGCCCAAATTTTCTGCTCCCTGGCCCTGAGTTCTATAGACCCCTCTCTATAATAAAATTGTAACTAAGGAAGCAGAAATATTGGGCTGTAAACACATGGTTTATGGACTACTAACTTGACCCAAAGAGAAACCCTGTGGTTCTTTAAATAGCATATTCCCTTCATATATTTAAGCTAACAATAATCATGACAATAAACAATAACATAAATGGCAGTGGTAGTAATAGTGCAATTGAGTCCTTGTGTGTGCCAGGCACTCTTCAATCACTTCACATTATCACCCATGTAATCATTCCAGTGATCATTTGCATTAGGTGCTATTACTAGCTCCATTTTTCAGGCAAGAAAATTGTAGCAGATTATAAAAGAAAGTTGTCCAAGGTCAACAGCTGGTAAATGGTAGTGGAGGAATGGAGCCAATCTCCAGAAAGGGACGATTCTCTAAACACTGGCAACTTTCTTCCAGGTCAATACAGTTAAAATTTTAAACTACCCACTTACATGCAGCATTTTCAGTATAAAGCAGGAATGTGCCTCTCTATTCATTTTAATTTCAAAGGTAGATCACCCTCCCTGTAAAAATGTGTAGGAAGTGTTGGGATTGTTTAGCTACAATTGGAAGTCACCTCACTCTTCACTTCTCCACCAGTGGTGGCCTCTCTGGTGCCCATGCCTGTCTCGTGACTTGTGCATTCTCTCTTTGGCAGCCTGCCCTCAGGGTTGCTTGCAGTGCAGCCATGGGGAACGGTGTCACCTCTGTGCCCAGGGGTTCTCTCTGAAAAGTGGCCTCTGTGTTTCCAACTGCGTCCCCGGCTTCTCTGTCCATTCCTCCAACGAAACATGTGCTGGTAAGTACTTCCCCTCTGATGGTCCAGTGAATCCGCCTGTAATTTCTCTATGGGGTTGCTGAGTTTGCAGATATGATTGCCTCACTTGATACAAAATGCAGACCTCCCATTTAGGAAACCTGTGGTGCTGCTATGTAATAAGGGATCATTAACAGAACTTGGGAAATTGGGAAAACATCTTTGAAAGGAATAAAGCAGCAATCTAAGTTTTATAAGTCACAATTATCAGTTCAGTGATTGACATAAAATTTGGGCATCCGTGGTAGCACAGGGGTGAGTCTCAGCACTATTAAGCTATAGCCAGCCACTGTGGCATGAATTCAATGCCTGGCCAGGGAGGTGACCCACATGGCACAGCAGACCTCTCTGTCTCACCCATTGCTCCCCTCAGTAGTGAATTTTAGTAGCTCGGCCTGTTCTCCTCTCCACTCTGTCTCTGGTAAATCCTTTCACTCCTCACACCTCTGGCCTACACTCTTTTCTTGTATGCATAAATAAATAAAATGAATCTTAAAAAAAAATGCGTTTCCTATCTATAGCCACATTGTAGAAAATAGCATACATACTTACAGATACAATGTGTCAAATTTATATAAACTCATACAGCTAAGAATAGCAGGATACAATGATGCACACTGTGCACACATTGGATATAAACTATAACTAAATTGCCTAGTTACATTTACACACGTGCAGTGAATGGATTTTTAAGCCACATTGTACACCACCGAGGTGAAGGTAGCACAAGGAATGGATCTTCCCTTGTTCAAGACATGAATGGATGACTTACTTAAACAGTAAAGATAGCTAATTTAAATTGAGTCTTAATTTTGAATACCAACCGTTTATAGCTCAATGAAACTTAGGAGTTATAGCTAAATATCTCTTTGTTTTGAGGGTCCTTTATCAGTAACATCAGGCATATTTTAACACCTACAGTCAGTCATATTTTCTGTTTGTCCCATCGTTAAACACATTCAGACTTCCCATGGGAAAAACATCATTAGCTTATTTTACTGGGATCCTTCAAGATACACCAAATAATTGAGAGTTACATTATTCCTCCTTGGAAGAAATACATCCAAGTTAACTGGCTAAAATGAATTCCATTTTTCATTTGCATAACCTTACAGTAGAAATTGTTTCCCTAAACTTGGCATTCCCAAACTGTCCTGCTTTTTTTTGTAGACACAACACTACCAACTAAAGAATTAAAATCCAGGCAAACAATTTGCAGGGGACAGGATGAATTCCACATTATCAATTAGATATTTCCTGTGGAGAGATTGTAAAGATTTAAAAATGTGTATATTTTTCATATGAATTCTGAATGTAAGTAATAATCTTACTTCATTATATGTTAACTGATAACATTTTTAGAAAATAGCATCAGATACTTGTCCTTGGTGGGTCTGACGGTCAGTTCTAAGATGTATTAGGATAGCATTTGTAGTTCTCAAATCTCATAGCTCATTAGGATTCCCTGAGGAGCTTATAAAATCACGGAGTCCTAACGTGAACATTTAAGTCAGAATCTCTGGTGATAAGAGCCCAAGTGTCAATATTGTTTTAAAAGATCCCTATATGTTTCTTTATTATTATTGATATTATTGTTATGATATAGTTCACATATTAGAGAAGCTCTAAAGTGTATAATTCCCATAGTTCCACAGTCACCACCAATTCTAGGACATTAAGCTACCCTAAAGAGAAATGAAGTAACCATCAGCAGTATCTCTTCACTGCTCCTTATCCCTGCCCCTGGCAGCCACTGACCTGCTTCTAGGCATTTTACATAAGTGGAATCATACACTATGTAGCCTTTTATGTATCACTTCATCATGTTGGAGCATAGATCGGTACATCGTTTCTTCTTATGGTTGAATATTCCATAGTTTGCATATACCACATTTGTTTATCCATTCATGAAATGATGGATATAGACAGCTCCACTTTTGAGCTATTATGAGTAATACAGCTATGAATGATCATGTATAAGTTTTTGTGTGGATTTATGTTTTCATTTCTCATGGGTACATGCCTATGTGTGGAATCGTTAGGTTGTTGACTAATGATTTTGAGCACCTTTTTATGCCAGGATGTGTGTGTGTGTGTGTGTGTGTGTGTGTGTGTAAGACATATCTATCTATTTGAATTCTTTGGCTATTTTTAAATAGGGTTGTCTTTTATTGAGTTCTTTACATGTTTTAAATACAGGACTTTAGAAAAAAAGATTTATTCATTTATTCATACAGAACTGGGGTACAAGCTAGAGGTGCAAGAGGTGCAGGGGTGGTGAGAGGCTTCACCAGAAACAGAGTGGGGAGCAGAACAGTCAGATTGACAGAGTACACTGCTGAGGGGAGCAGCAGGCGAGACAGGTCTGCTGTGCCATGTGGATCATCTCCGGGGCTGGGGATCATACTGACACTGAAGTGGCTGCAACTAGCTTGTAGTGCTGCATCCTAACCTGTTGTGCCACAGGGAGGGCCCAGGACTCTTTTCATATACTTGTTTTGCAAATATTTTCTCCATTTCTGTGGATTCTCTTTACACAGTTTTTTTTTTTTTGACTCATTTCTTTTGAAGCCCAAAAGCATTTCATTTGAATGATTTCCAATCTATCAATTTTTGTCACTTTGCTTTTGGTGTCACAGCTCAGAAAGCATTGCCTAAATCAAGATCACATAGTTGAACTTTGAAATCCTGTGTTATCCGCATGTGTTTCTTGCTGGATTATAGGGAGGCTTTTGGTATACAGTAGCCTGGATTCTGATCTTTGTTGCATTACAAATCTGTTCTTTAAAAAAAAAAAGCCTAATTAGTGAATTTAACGAGCTTGACCTTTGGGTTTTTGTTTTTCCAGACAAAGTACATACTCCTAGTCTTCACGTGAATGGTTCTCTCACCCTTGCAATTGGTTCAATGAAGCTCCTGGATTTTGCCCTCCTGAATGTCCAAGACCAGGGGGGCAGGGTGGAAGACCTTCTGTTTCATGTCGTGAACACTCCCACCAACGGTCAGTTAGTCCTCTCGAGGAATGGAAAAGAGACTCTAGTCGACAAAGCTGGACATTTTAGCTGGAAAGACGTGAAGGAGAAAAAAGTCCGTTTTGTGCACAGCAAAGAAAAACCCAGGTGAATTGTATTGTTATTTCCCTCCTGCCTCCTTTCCAGTGCTTTCCCCCTCCCACTTTTCCAATAGCCATCCCTTCTCTTCTGGGGAAGATCGATATTCCACAAATGCCAAATGCTTTCAGCTGCTTGTCATCATTTCTCTGTAATTGCTGAGAGCGAGCGCTTCTGTTCCAGGCATTTTCTTTTTAGCACATAATGATGGGTAATTCTCTGATGTGAAAGGAAAGTTCCTAGTGTAAGTACCCAGTTTTTTTGGCCAGCAGAAACAAAATTAGATATATACCCAGCTGTTCCCACAGCTTCTTCAACATTAGGGTAATATATTCATAGAAGGGAGTGGCAGAGGATGGAGTATCCACTTTTCAAGATTTCATCTGGTTCCTTGAATTTCAGAGTTGAAAGTAAACAAGAAACACTGTTAACTTTTTACTGTCCACTTCATGGGGTTAATCATGGTTAATTGTTAGGCCTGCTCCAGTTTTCCCTTATGCTTAGCACACTTCTGGCTGTGTTCCCCACCCCAGCTGAAATGTGTTTGATGAATGCAACTGAATGTTACACCAATCCAATCAAATATTGCCCTGTAATTAGCAGAATAAATCTACTGAACAGAAATAGGAGAAAACACCCTAAAGATTAGCCTCTTGGATAATCCTTCACCCTGCTCTGCTTTAGTGTGCAGACAATTCAGAGAAGACTGTACGTGTAAGTAAGGAACTGAAACCCAAGAAGCAGTGATAAGAACACAGTAAATATTTCAGCAGGCGGGTCAGGAGAGGTCTACCACACCATGTGGATCTCCTCTGAGGCAGGCGGGAATCGAACTCATGCTGAAGTGGCTTAAGCTTCTTAGTGCTGTGCTTTAACCCATTGCGCCACCAGGGAGGGCCCAATGCTAGAGATTTTTTTAAGGTTGGGCTACGAGATAGGTGGGAGAAAAGTAGATGGCACTGGCACTTTCTTTTCTTTTCTTTTCTTTTTTTTTTTAAGATTTATTTATTTATTTATACAGAACTGGGGTACAAGCCAGAGGTGCAGGGGTGGTGAGAGGCTTTACCAGAGACAGAGTGGGGAGCAGAACAGGCAGATCAACAAAGTACATTGCTGAGGGGAACAGCGGGCAGGTCAGGAGAGGTCTGTGGTGTGATGTGGGTCACCCCCGGGGCCAAGGATCGACTTGCACAGATGCGGCTGTGGCTAGCTTGCAGTGCTGCGTCCTAACCTGCTGTGCTGCCAGGCAGAGCCAGGTGGCACTTTATTGTAGTTCAGAGCGGACAATGCCAGTTATCTCAAAGCATCATCTCATAGGAGTAACAACTACAACTACCATTTATCAACTGCTAACTTTGAGCCAGGTTTAGTATCAGGCACTCTGGGTGAATTGTGTGCATTTATGTTCCCAGTCCACAGACAGACCAGCTAAGGACTTGAGATTTAAGTAAGCATGTGCCAGCACTGGTTCGCTGTGGGCATGAAGCTGAAACTCCAACCCCCGACTCTGATTCCACCATCCATGCCAACAGCCACGATGGTGTCTGCCTCCTTCAAAAACAAGGGTTACTGGCATGCTCGCATCGTCAGGGCACAAGAGATTATTGCATAGAGAACTATGCTCCAGAACTACACCAGAAAAAACCCAAGTGTTTGATGCCAGAGAAACCTTCTTCAAATTTGTGCTCCATTTCCTGTATTTATTTTGTTGCAAGGCAGTTCCCAAAGTGATTTCATCTCTCTCTCTCTCCCTCTCTCTCTTTCATAAACACACACACACACACACACACACACACACACACACACACTTCCATACCTCTAGTACTGGAGTCACTTGGGAAAAATGTAAAGCTCCACAGATAATCAAAGTGAGCCCACACGTCTATTGATCTCTCACTTCTTACCTCATTACCTCACTTTCCTGCAGTATCAGTTTTGCATCTCTAGGTGAGACCAAGAATGACAGCTCTTTGCCAGGGAATTCCTTCACTTCCCTGTTTATTTTTGGTACCCACTTTGATACTCCATTTCCTTTATTTTAAAATTTAAACTAAATAATGATAAAAGTGGCATAAGGTTGGTAGATGTTCATGAAAAAAAGAAAGTTAAAGGCAAAAGTTTCTGAGTGGTACAAAAATAAAGAAGCAACCTGCCAGACCAGTTTGTACATTTGTTTTCCTCCCTGCAAACACTGACCATGATTCTTTAGGTTTGGGTTCTTTCTGAGAGGGATTGATCACTGGAATGCAAGCTGAACTGGAAAGATGATCATAGTGACCATAGAAACTGATTTTGCTGAGATGTTGGCCACAGTTGTAACTTCAGGGCCACCATAAATCATTTTCTCCACTGGGTTGGGGATAGCCACCTCTTTGTTGATTCTGATGCTTCCATCAGTTTCATGCTCTTGAAATCTAGATGTAGAAATGGAGAGGGGCAAGACTTGATTGGGACATAAAATGAGAGGATGGAACCAGAGGAATGGCAGGATACGTTTTTAAAACAAATCAGGTTTATTGACCTGATTTCCCCATTTCAAAGTGTCCTGTACTATGAGTGATAACAAATGTATAACCTTGCAGTCTTGAGATCACAACCACAATCAAGTTATAAAACAGTTCTGTCACCTTCCAAAAATCTTTTTATAATTACTCCCTTCCTTTCAAGAAAACCCTGATTAGCTTTTCACCCCTCTGGTCTTGCCCTTTCTAGAATGTCATATGGATGGAATCACCTGGCATATAATCTCTTGTTTCTGTCTCTTGCCACAGAGCTTCTAAGATCCATTCACATGCTTTCATGGATCAGTAGTTATTTCCAACTTCTAAAGAACTTTTCTTAAATCATGGTCCCTATCCCAGATCAGAATTCAAAACCTGCCACAATGCATTAAATACACATCTTGTCAGCCAGAAATGAATTCTGTGCTTGATCTGTCTTTGAAAGTGGGCAATTGCTACCTTCCTTCTAGTTGTTTCTGAAGCTGATGGAACAAAACTCTTACAGGAGGTAAAATCCACAGCAAAGAGAGAACCTAATTTTGTTCCTAATTAGGACTTTTTGGTTCCAACTAATGGAAGTCAATTTGAAGTAGATGAGGCAAAATAGTTTATTATAACACTGCAGGGGTGGCTCAGGTCCCAGGGACATCAAGGGCACTGAGGGACCAGCCTGGAAGCTGAAACTAGGACGGGAAGCAGAACTGAATTCTTCCTTAGTGTCAAGGGCAGTCAACTCTCCTATACTGCACCATATTTGAACTCACATAATAAACTATGGTTCCCCCATAGGGAAATGTGTGTTCTTAGGGTAGCTTTGGGATTCTAGAGGATAATCAGCCACCACTTCTCATCCAGTGTATGTTGAATGTGTTTTAGGCTAAGGGAGGGTGCCAAGAGGATAGTCATGGGATACACACAATGCAAACATTGTGATTGGAGCTCTACTCTCTTGAATTGGGGGGGGCCAGGGAAAGACTGCAGGGAAGAGGAGTCATTGAGAACAGTTAGAGACTAGGAAAGGTTGTTTTCCATTCTCAAATTTAAATATTAATTTACAGTAAATTAATAGCCTGTACAGTTTTAATGACATCTCACTAGCTTCATCCTGGTCTAGTCATTTTTTATTTACATTGTGAATATTACCGTTGTCATGGTTTGAAACCACATGGTATTTTTAATACTTGTTTTCTAAAAACTAACTTAATAATTATCTTTTCTCTTTCCTTTCTTGGGAATGCCCTTTTAGGAAAGGTTATTTTTCCCTGAAAATCAGTGACCAGCAGTTCTTCTCTGAACCACAGTTGATCAACATACAAGCATTTTCAACACAGGTAAAAAAAAAAATGCCATGAGTTAATAATTTTATATGACTGCTAGATTTCTAGCACAAATTAAGTTTTCTTGTAGCTTTACTTTCGTGTTTTCATAAAAGTGAAAACAAGAAAAACGCCTTGTGTCCCTCACTGAATCATGATAAAACACTGGCAAGAGTTGGCTATTTAGGTTTTCCTGGCTCCCCATAATGATGAGCAGCTTTCTTAAGACCATCTCTTTTCTTGCTACTGTCTTTGTGCCATTTAGCTGTTCAGCTCTCACTCCTGATTGATAAGATAAATTAACCATATTTCAGTTTTTTTCATGAAATGCCACTGAGGAAACAAACTTTAGTACTTGTGAGCAGTAACAGCTGTAGCAACAATTACTAACATATTGATAGTACTTATCTTAGTGTTTTTTTATTTAATATCCATGATATATTTCTAAAGTACTTAGCCCCAAAATACAGACAAGGAAGCAAAGTCATAAGGAAGTTATGAGACATTTCGTGGTGATATGCTAGTAAATAGAGAGCCAAGATTGGTGCCAGGATATCTGGCTGCAGTCTGCTTTTGCCCATTCTACAGTGGTGCCTTACTTTATTGTATTGACTAGATACTAGCCTTTCAAAATAATTTGAAGTTGTTAGAGTGGTTAAGACTTTCCTTATTCATAGGTAAATGACGTGGTTTTTTATAAGTATTTGTTTCTCAGGAATATGGAATTACATTTGGCTGTATCTTCCTGTCTGTCCTCTAGCCAGACTGCATGCAACTCAGAGGAGCTTGTTAAGGAGCTGCTTAAATGGAGTGCTAGTGTGGTCATCAGCCAAACAGAAGTTCAAGGAATCTTGGCCCATGCTGTAAAACTCAGCCTGATGACTCTTGTTTCTTATCACTCATCTGTTGGGTCATACTTATGTGTCTAGATTACATATAGTGATAGATGCTCTAGTAACCAAGAGCTAAAATGTGCAGCGACAGTAGCAAGAAAAGAGATAGTCATAACAAAGTTAAATGTCATCATGGGGAACTAAGACATTAAGACTACCTGAATGCCAACTTGTGGCAGTGTTTAGCATGATTCAGTGGAGGACACAAGGCATTTTTTTTTTAAAGATGTATTTATTTATGCATACAGAACTGGAGTAAAGGCCAGAGGTACAGGGGCAATGAGGGGATTCACCAGAGACAGAGTGGGGGCAGAACAGGCCGACTGATGAAGCACACTGCTGAGGGGAGCAGCAGGCGGGTCAAGAGAGGGCTACTGCACCATGTGGGTCACCTCCCGGGCTGGGATCAAACTCATGCTGAAGTAGCTTTAGCTTTTTGGTGCTGTTCATTAACCTGCTGTGCCATCAGGGAGGGCCCACAAGACATTGTTTTTAAAGTGATATTTTCATATATTTTGGTCTAAATATAAGACCACAGACATTGAATAACATAGATTTGAATAAGGAGTGGAAGCCAAATAGTATTCATGGCCCAACTGAACTCATCCTGATGACATTCTCACCTCTGGGATGACTTAAGTCAAGAAATGAATAGAAATTGATCCTAAATTAATTTGATCTCAGGGTTGGGTTAAGAGTATAAATTTTGTTTTAATTAAAATGAAACTTGTGATCTCTGTAAGTCCCAGGATTTAATTGACTTAGATGTTTCAAGCTCAAGTACAGAAGTTTTGTTATTCTTTCTGTTTTTATTATATAGTTATTCTTGCTAGATGAATAAAAGGCCAATGGTAGGTTTAGGCAATGACTGCCTAATTTGGATAGAGAGTTTCTATGATTCCCTGACTTTGTTTGTTTTCCCAAAACCAAGTGTGTAGGTAGTAAGGGCACCTTTTTATTTTACTTATTATCTGAAAAACTTATCATTTTGAAAGTTTTAAAATGGTATTTCAGAAGCGAATTTTAACTGATTTTTGTTCACTTACATTTCTGTGATAGTTTTATATAGCCCATGTCTCCTTGAGATTTTCTCATGGAAATTAATTTTATCTTTTTCATTTATGGATTTTGACATCACCTTTGATCTTTCCTCTTTCAGACACTGAGGGACTGTTCGTTCCCATGTATAGAATCATAGCTTTTGGATTCTCACTTGGGAATTCTGAGTAGTAGCTATTATCTAGTTTTTCATATGTGATTATTATAATGACCCATTAGTTAGACATTACATTAATAGATATTGAAATTTCCAGGAGTGTGCTTGGGTAATTTTTAAAAAGCCATTTGGATTAGAGAAGACAGTATGCTGAGAAAAGTCCATGATGGTTCAATTTAAATGATATGAAAAACTTCAGCTAATGTTTTCTTTGGCTTCTGGCCTTTATATTTTTTCTGGAGAGTTTTTTTTGGTTATGATTCATTAACTTTAATCTTTATGAAAGAACATTTTATCTGCTTACTGTTTTGGGGGGAAGGGGTCTGGAGAATCTAAGAATCCTAAAAAAATAGACACACATGCTACATTTTGCTTTGTTGGCAAATGAATTAACCAGCTGCCGTACACAGCTGCCTCACTCAGCCTTGTCAGGCTGTCCAACCTGAGCTTGGGTTGGATTGGAACAACTTGGGTGGGGGTGGGATGGGCAAGGAATAGCATGACTTCAAAATGCAGAAGTACCTTACTTGTGTCAGGATGCTGCAATGTGGTCTGAGCGAAAGGCTCAACTCCCAAATACACATCCAAAATTTTCATAGCTCTTATTACTTTCTCTTGTATTCAGAGAGCTGATTGGGTTGATGAGTGAACTGATCTGATTTACAACACAGGAAATATAGTCTATAAGTCATGATAACAAAGACTTTAGATATTTAGAAGCAAACAGCCCTTCCTAATTGCTTCTGATGGTCTTAAAGTAGCTTGAGAAACCTCCAGAACTGAGTGTGAAGTCATCTTGTTTGCTCTTAGTACCATGACTGACCACACTGCTGCCAAAAGCGTCACCCCGACAACAGCTTTGTTGAAGCATCTAGAGTCCCTTGAAAAGCACAGAAATGTCAATCAGATTGCATACAGTTGATTTCTAGGCCACTGGATTGTCCTCTCTTTTCCTACTCAGTGACTTTGCTTCCTCTCTTTCCCTTTAATTCCACAGGCCCCCTATGTGCTGAGAAATGAGGTCCTCCACATTAGCAGAGGAGAGAGGGGAACCATCACCAAACAGCTATTGGATATCCGAGATGACGACAACCCACAGGATGTGGTTGTCGAAGTGCTGGATCCTCCACTTCATGGCCAGTTGCTCCAAACACGTCAGTCCCCTGCAGCCCCTCTCTATCAATTCCGACTAGATGAGCTCTCCAGGGGTCTTCTCCAATATGCCCATGATGGCTCTGACAGCATGTCTGACATTGCAGTCTTGCAGGTCAATGATGGACACTCTTTCCAAAATATACTGTTCCGTGTGAAGACTGTGTCCAAGGTAGGTGTCATTCTTCAGACCCAATTTCCTCGCACTAACACATGAGGCTTTGCTGATAGTATTATTTCATAGTACTCATAATGTTATGATATAAGCAATTATTTATTTAAACATTTATTGAGCACTGTTATGATGATAAATAGGCATCCATAGATAAACAGAACACATTTCCCTGTCTGAGAGAACACAGTATATTTTGTTAGGATCGCTTCTGATCTGAGAGACCTAACTCATGTTCTTTACAAAATGGGAATTTTTTTTTTAAGATTTATTTATTTATTTATACATACAGAACTGGGGTACAAGCCACTGGTGCAGGGGCAGTCAGAGGATTCACCAGAGACAGAGTGGGGAGCAGAACAGGCACATCAATGAAGTACACTGCTGAGGGGAGCAGCGGGCAGGTCATGAGAGGTCTGCCAGGCCATATGGGTCATCTCTGGGGCTGGGGATCCAACTTGCACTGAAGTGCTTTAACCCACTTCGCCACCAGGGAGGGCCCAAAATGGGAATTTTTTAACCATTATGTTGACATCCTGCCTTAGCCAATGTCATTGCCACAGAGTATCTCTTGTTGAGAGTGATCGTGTGCATCAAAAGCAGTGCACCCCTCTTTTGTCTACCCTTCCAGTACAACTCATGCAATGTGAAATTCATAGTTACCATGATGAATCAAAAAGAATGAGTTCATCCATGGTGTTAGTTCAAGTGAACATGTTGAAGGAACTCTCTTAGTGGTAATCATAGGACTCCATGGTCCAAGGCATAGGAACCCAGTAAAAAACAGTGTTTCTCAACCTGAGTTGCCATCTCTTTTTGCCTCGTCCATACACCTGTCCCATTATTTACTTCATATTTTTGATGGGATCAATTTTTTATTGTAACCTCACTCTAATAACTGAAACTTGGGAAATTCTGGATTTAAGATAGAATTATACTTTCTCCCTTAGATACTAAAATAAATACATAACCATCTAATACTATTGTATTCAGACTACACAATGTTTGTACATATTTCAATGGGGTGGCATTGTAATTTTCACAATTTTGGCAATTATTGAACTATCACACGCATGATGAAAGAGACCTATTGAGAATGTTTTTAAAACTATGTATTACTTGATAGTTCACTAGGAACCCTTTTCTGTTACAGCAAGAATGGCTCTTTTCCATAGTAGACTGGGAGACTTACATTTTTATTTTGAACTTTTCATTCCAAATATCAGTACTTACTAAAGTGCCATTAATGATTACCTAGAGAGATTGATTTGCTGAGGACAGTTTAGAAATCACTTGTCACTTTCTCACCAATGATCACTCAAAATTTGTGATTGATCCTTGTGAAGGTGAACACCTGCAACTGACATAGTCTGCCAACTAGTTTCACAGGCCCTTGTCTCATTATTTTCAGCTGCTGGAAACAGTGATGGTGGCATGAGATAGACGAGAGTAAGTCAAGGCTGATTATGAGATAGAGTTGGCACATAGCCATCTTGCAGCTAATCCTAATTATCACCCTCTTGCAATTGCCCTGGGAGATGAGGTTTAGTTCTAAAGAGATGAAGTCTAGACAGATGCAAAAAGTTTTCTTTTCTTCCTTCTTGGTTTCTTTCCAAAGGTTTTAAAGGATTTCAGTGCAACCCTAGCAGCCGCCTTTCCTATCATGCTTTCGATCTCCATGTTGGAAGCTCAGTTCAGTGTATTGCGCAATCGTTTTGTGTGGTGTGGCCCAAGAATGAAGGGTGTTTCTAGGATTTTAGCTACTATGACTCCCAAAACCAAACAAAGGAAAATAAAGCACAGAACTTAAGAATTCTTGCAGTGCTTATCAATCAAGAATCATGTTGGTATTTATGGTGTCTGCCCCTATCCCCCACCTCCTCCTCCTTCTTCTCTTCCTCCCCCTCTTCTTCCTCCTCCTCCTTCGTCCCTCCTCCCTCTCCTTCCCTTCCTCCACCACCTCCTCCACGCCCTCCCCCCTTACCCTCCATCATTCTCTCACAGTGCTGTCCATCAAGTGAACTGATAGCTTTTATGCTAATTAACTGGAATAATGAAATCAGTGACCAGAGCCCCAGGATCCATTAGGATATACTAATAATAAATTTGATACTGTAATAATGATAATATTTTTAAATATTTCTATGTTTCCCTGTAGAAATTAAAAGTAATTTTCCTCAAACCTGTTTTTCTCTTCTTTACAATAGCCAGATGAATAAGGTTGGAGTAGAGGCTCTGTGATCTTACTTCTAAAGGAAATTCTAGCATGGTTAGGAAGTCTTTTATTTGTTTTATTTTTAACCTTCATTGGGCCCCTGTGGTTGGTGTGAACTATTCTATTTTATCTTCACTAATTTTATGATGTTTGTACAGTTATTTTCTCTACTTTTTCCGAAAGAAAACACTGAAAAAGTTTAGAAGCATTTATCTGTTGTAAATGTGTTTTGTCTTGGAGTTGTGATTTCAGCTTGAGTGCATTCTGGCTCCTCATGCTTAACCACATGAGTCTTTTCATTCTAGTCCCTGTTTTTCAATGTTTTGGTCATAAATATTTTTATCCTCTTAAATGGATAGAATGGGGAAGTAATCTAGTCATTTTCTCAGTGTCTTATCCAAGCACTGTGGGCCCCAAGCTTCCTGGAATCTTCCCTCTGGACTTAACACATCTTGTTACAAGTGAAGCTATTTATAATCATAAGTCTACTGGAGACCAAGAAGAAAAATTGCTTCAATGGGTAACGGCTTTCAGCAGATTTGTAGAGAGAGGTGATTGATTTTGTTCTGATAGCCTTTTCTGAAGATGGGCATCAGGTCCTTATCATAAGGCTGGTCTACCACTATATTAAATTTGGAGTGAGGCCACTTACTGCTTATGTCTAGCTGGTGGCTTAAATGGAATGGCCAAAGAAGTTAGGTCTAATCCAAATGAACGGCTATATAAATTAATTCCAGTATTGTTCAATGGAAACTTTAACCTGGTAAAATAGATGGGAAGTGAGGGAGAGATAGAAAAAGAAAGTTGTGTCAGGACACACATCAGAGGAACTCAGTACATTTTTGTTGGGCAGCTGGACAGATATCTGGATGCAACAGCTTGAGTCTGTGCTCCTGCCTTTAAGACCATCTCTGCTCTTGAATGAGAAGCCCTCAGGTCACTTGTGGTAATATTGGGGTGCTCTACATGGGGCCACAATAGGAGCTGTCAAATCCATTATTGCTTCTGAAATTCTTAAGTTTTATCTTAAGATAAAAACTTAAGTTTTTATCTTTGGCATGGCAGTGAATAAACTTGTGTGCCACCCTCTAGGCTTACACTGAGTCACTGAGGAGAAAATAGAACTTTGACTGGTGTTGAAACATGTTCTGTTGCGGGAAGGAGGCAAAAGAAATCAAAAAGATTAAAAGGTAATAAAAAATGCTTTGCTGAACAGGCTTTCATTAATTGGGTGGATTACCAAACCCCAGCTTGCTAGAGATATGATGCTAAAGCAATTCGGTGTCTAATAAAGGACTCACATGTGTGCAGGGGAAAATCATGCTTATTGGTGGATTTCTTTCCACTGCTGGGCTCTCAAGGAATTACCTTCTTTTCCATTAATTAAGACACCTCCGGAAATCAACCTCTTTTTCCACTGAGGCAATAAATCTGATGATCTTTCTGACCTCGTTTGTTGTTGTTTGAGCAGTTATTTTCTGCAGCTTGGTAACGCTTTGATATTAAAAGCCCCCACGTGTCTTGCTATGAACTGGATGGAAAATTCTGTTGCTAAAAGTTCTTTGTAGCTGTTTGAGCTTGAGAAGTCCCTTGATTTCCTGTAAGCCTACCCAGCCACTGAATTATCTTGCAAGGACATAATTTGGTTATGAAAATTGTAAGTATCCACAGAGAAAAAATGTTTTTCCACTGAATAAGGGTCTGTGTTATAAATAAGTAAATTCTCACCCTCTGTCAGGGTTATAGCTTTTGAATTTGCTTAATTTATTCAGTTTAGTGTCTAAAAAATTCATTGCTCAGGTCATATACTTATATACTCAGATAGTGTTTGATTAAAAAAACATATATGTAAGGCATTTGAAATCTACATGGAGAAAGGTTCTGTAATCTTAACTAGAAGGTGGAAACTTCTAAGGGACATTCACACACTGACAGACACAAAAGCAGGCCAAGTATCTTTTCATCATTCTTCATTTTGGTAAATAGCATCTAAGTTTCACTTTATATGTGCCACTCCCCATGACCCTTCCTTAAAATCCAAATGTCTTAGAAGATTAAATTTTAAAAGCTATGGCATAGGAGACTTTGAAAATTATGCTATGTTTTTTAGAATAAATATAATTTTAGGTTGGTATTATATCCAACTATAGTTGCTTTCTATTTAATAAATTTTAAAATTTGGTTGATCTTGAATACTTTGGCCTTTGTTGGAGGTACACTGTCATTTGAGCTCATCAATTTATCCCTACAGTGGGGGAGTTCTCATTTTGTTTGTGAGATTTTTTTTCTTCTCCAAAAATATATAAGGCTTGGTTCTTCTAGTTTACATTTGTATTTTTACTTGTAGTACAGTATATTTTGGCTAACTTTATAACCAGCATTTCTGTATGCCTATTGTTGTATGAACTAAATTAGGAGAACTATTTAATTTAAAGCACTGATTTAATTATGCTTCAAGTTTTACTTTTGGGGTTTTCATTGCCTTCTAATGTGGTACCCTGAAAGAGTATAAAACATCACTAGGCAGAAAATTATTCAGCTGATATTAAGGCTAATTTCTTGAGCTTCCAAGAGTATATGCATCATTGTCCTGGGAAAAAGCTACAAAAACATAAATTGCAAAATATCAAAGACATTGGGGAAGTTGATTAAAATTTGGTGGTTTTGTGGAAATATTAGCTGCAGAAAAGACAATGTATTTATTGCCATCTAGTCAACTCTTCTTGTATTTTCTTTTGACCCTCTTCCAAAAGAAAGCTACCAAAAACATCATCTTCATCATAATGAGTGAAAAGAATATTTTCCTTAATTATACTTGTTTTCCTATTCTTAAGTACTGAAAGCTAGTAATTCTGAAACAGAGACATATTTATTATCCTATTATAAAGGTAAATATTCTAAAAGACCTGTTGCTAGACTTTCAAAAGAACCACCCTAGAATCATCATGATTTCTAGATTACTCACGTGGGCCTCGCTTTTCACACTATAGCATGACTCCACATGTCCTGGAGATCTTGTTAAACTACAAGTGGGGTCCATCAGACTAAAAAAGCTGTGTAGCAAAAAATAATCAACAAAATGAAAAGACAACCTAGAGCGTGGGAGAAAAATTTGAAACCTGAGAAAGGGTAATATCTAAAATATATAAGGTATTCAATTCAGAAAGAAAATAAAAAAAAAATTAATGGATTAAGGACCTGCATAAATATCTCTCAATATAAGCCATACAAATAGCCAAAATGTTTTTAAGAAAAGCTGACCAACATCACTAATCTTCAGGATAATGCAAATCAAAACCACAATGCGGTATGACATCATACCTCCTAGAATGGTTGTTATCAAAATAAAGGGGAGCTAGGTGTTGATGAGGTTGAAGAGGAAGAGGAAAAGGAATCCCTCTATACTATTATTAGGGGTGTAAATTGATGCCACCACTACGGAGAACAGGATGGATCTTCCTTTCAAAATTAAAAATAGAACTACCATTTCATCTAACAATCCCATATCTGGATATATGTATCCAAAGGCAAGAAAACAGAGACCCTCCCCCCCCCCAAAAAAAAACAGAGTCTTGAAAAGATAGCTACACCACTGTGGTAATTGCAGCATTATTCACAATGACCAAAATGTGAAAGCACCCTAAGTGTCTTTCAGTGGGTGAGTAGATAAAGAAACATGGTCTCTATAGGCAGTGGAATAGTATTCATCCGTTTAAAAGAAAGAAATCCTGCCATTCCTGACAGCATGGATGAGTCTAGCAACAATTATGCTAAGTAAAGTTGATTAGACACAGGAAAACATGCATTATCTCATTTATATGTGGAATCTAAAAATGTTGAACTCATAAAGCAGTGTAGAATAGAGGTTATCAGAGGCTGGAGATAGGAGAAATGGGGAGCTATTAGTCAAAGTATACAAAAGTTCACTTATACAGCGTTAATAAGTTCTGGTGATCTAATGTACCCCCTGGTGACTATGTTTAATAATGTATAGCAAACTTAGAATTGCTAAGAGAGTTTATCTAAAGTGTATTCACCCCACACCAAAAAAATCATAGCTCTGTAAGGAAATAAATATCCTAATTAGCTTAATAGTGTAATCATTTCACAATGTACACATGTTATCAAACAATTGTGTTATACACATTAAATATGTACAATTTTTGTCTGTTGGTACTTCCACAAAATTTGTGGGGGAAAAAACAGATTTTAATTTGGAAGGTCTCAGTTGGAGTTTGAGATTCTAAATTTTTTTTTAAAGAATTATTTATTTATACATACAGAACTGAGGTACAGTCCAGAGGTGCAGCGGCAGTAAGAGGGTTCACCAGAGACAGAGTGGGGAGCAGAACAAGCAGATTGATGAGGTACACTGCTGAGGGAAACAACAGGCAGGTCAGGAGAGGTCTGCCGCACACCATGTGGTCACCTCCGGGGCTGAGATTGAACTCATGCTGAAGTGGTTTTAGCTTCTTAGTGCTGTGTTTTAACCTGCTGCGCCACCTGGAAGGGTCCCTGAGATTCTAAACTTTTAATAAACTTCCAAATGTTGCTGGTCTCTGAACACTGGCTTACAAGAAGTACTACCACCTAGAAATTTAGATTCACTCAAGAATTACAAAGACTTGTATTGTTATTGTCAAGACAGAGATGTAATAGGAAAGACATCTGGGGTTGTGTTTTAGGGTCACAAATGCTTATTTCCTCAAAATATGAAAAACCACACCACCTTCTCAGTTCAGTGCCACCGTCGGTGGTGAGTGATGTCCATACGTGTAATCAAAGTTGGCAAGGTCGATGCTATAGAAAGATTTTGAGCAATTAAACACCTGGTCCCAGTGTATTTTGTTACATAGCACTGCTGGAGTTCATAGGGCCTTGTCCCCAGAATTCTGGCACATTATAAAGTTCTTGGCACACTTTGTAAAGAGAGGAGAAAATTCTCCAGGATTTTGTTCCTGAGTGCCAGTTACTATAGAAGATGCCTTTACTGCCATTCTCCCAACATTGTTTGACTCAGCTTCCTGGTGATTGTGGCGAAAATAGCTGTGGTTGCCTCCAGAGGAGTACAAAAGAACTCATGTCAGTGACTGCAGAGGAATATTTGTTTTCTTCTGTTCTGCATATTTGTCTCCTGGGAGTGCTATTTGCTCTGTTCTATTATTGGCATATTTGAAAGTAATAACAATAATTTAGAAAACTGTTCTGAAATGCCCTTTTTTGAAGTATCAGATTTACCCATTTTTTTAAACAACTGAAAACTGAACACTGGCAGGCTCACTAATCTTATTCAGTGGGAAATGTCGATTATGAGGCTTTGAAAGAAGGGGTGTACCTTGCAAATCAGGAGTGGCAATGCTTTTTAATGACATTAGCTTTAGCAATTAAAATAGTTGCCTTCTCCAGCGTGCTAAATAGCCTATTTCTTCCAGCTAGCTAGTTCCAACTGTTGATAAGACTTCAGTTTCAATCAGCCATCAAGGCCTGTCAATTCTGCCTCTGCAGTGTTTCTGGAATCTATTTCCAACTCTCCATTCCCACTGCAATTACCTTCTCATCTTCTCTCACTTGCACCATTACAAGAACTTGCTAAATGGTTTCTACAGCTCCATTCACCCCAGCTCTGGTCCCTCCATCTCTTCCTGCTGGATCTATCTTACTAAAACCAGACCTGATCATTCCATTTCTTCCCTAAAGATCCAGGTTACTTTACAATACCTACAAGATTAACCCAGGTGTTCAAAATAGCTTCTGCCTACTACTAGCCAACCAACTCTATTCACTTCTTCCTCTGGCTTCCTGAACCTCTACTTGCACCAAATACATGAATATTTTATTAAAAATATGCAGCGCATTTTCATATATTTGCCTTTGCTTGAACTCAGCCCTTACCTGAAATGTGTTTCACTGCTTCTCTGCTTAGAAGACCAATTTTTGTTATTTAAGATGAAAATATTTCCTTGAGAAAGCTTTCCCTAGCATTCCTCTGCCAATGAGAAAAACTTCTTTCTTTATTCTCCCACAGCTCCTGCTCCGCTTCCTATAGAGCATCACTGTGATGTATCCTACTTAAATGTCTCTCTCCCCCCGACTAGACTATAATTTCTGAAACTGAGGTTTTGTGTAAGCCATCTGTAGCTATCTCAGGACTCTGGCAAAGAACCCGACATAAATGTATAATGAATAGTTCTTGAATGTCCGTGGATGGGGAAGGTGGAAGGACAAATAGATGGACAAATAAATAAAGAAATGGGGAGACTTTGTCTTAATGAATGAAATAAGTTCCTTACTTATGTTTAGTTAGAACAAAAAGCAGGACCAATACATATGTATGTTTACATATATGTGTCTATATACCCACATATAATATGCATATGCACTATTCATTGTGTGACTTTAAAGATATGTTTCCCTACTCCTAGATAATCTTGAACAGCAATAAGATCTGAAATTTATATTTTAAAAGACTGGTATTCTGTTATTTTGCTTGGACCTAATTCTTAACTCTTTCCTTATTCTAGAATGATGGTAGTCTTCGAATTGTGGCTAATTCAATGGTGTGGGTTCCAGAAGGGGGGATGCTACAGATTACCAATAGAATCTTGCAAGCTGAAGCTTCAGGTGCCAGAGCCTCAGAAATCATCTACAAAATTACAGAGGACTCCCCTCGATTTGGTAACTTTTTTTTTTCTTTTTCATTATTTCATTGTATTCCTCAATCTTGGACTTGATTTTTGATGATGCACCTTGAAAAACAAAATAATCATTAATACCTATCACTGTACAAATTTTATTTATTAGACAAAGTGCTAAGTAATGTAAATATGCTACATATAAATCTTAAACAAGTGTTTTTTTTTAAGATTTATTTATTTGTGCATACAGAACTGGGGTACAGGCCAGAGGTGCAGGGGCAGTGAGAAGATTCACCAGAGACAGAGTAGGGAGCAGAACAGGCAGATCGACGAAGTACACTGCTGAGGGTAGCAGCTGGCAGGACAGGAGAGGTCTGCCGCGCCATGTGGGTCACCTCGGGGTGGGGATCAAACTCATGCTGAAGTGGATTTAGTTTCTTAGTGCTGTGCTTCAACCCGCTGCGCCACCAGGGACGGCCCAACAAGTTCTTATTAAGAGAAATTAATAATAATAGAACAATAATAATAGAAATTAACTTGCTAAAAGTCACTTAGCTAATATAGAGCAGTTTAGTTTCAAAGCTTTGATTATCAAGCCCCACTTTGCATTCCTCCCAGAACATCACCAGACTTCATTCTAACTTTCTGCAAAAACAAACAATTCTTTGCATAAAAACATTTTTCACTGTTTTTGTCCATTATTACTTCAATTTCCAGACAGATAGTAGAGATGATAACCTGAAATTTTCTCCATCAATGCCAAATAAAAGAAAGTAAGAATTATAAGACATTGATAAGCAACCTCCCAATTGAGAGAAATTTCCAGGTTATCAGGAACACAGAAGGAACTAATTCCAGTCTGTGCATGAGTTAATGACATAACTTCCCTGAGAAGGGTTGTGTGTAATCCTGGGGTTTAGAGCTTAACGCTCATGTGGATCATGAAGTTGAAGTTCATATCCTACAAGACTAGGGTTCTGGGAAGACATGTCTTCCAGTAGAGGGACAGGATAGGAAACAAGAAGCTCACCAGCACAGAGAAGATGATGAAAAATTTACCAGTGTTTCCTGAGATTCAGAGTAAAACAAAATATCTATGGAGAATTCAGAACTTCAGATTTCTTTCTCCTGCATATCCAAAATTACCTATAGACTGTGTGCATTGTCTGAGAAACCCAAAGCTGAGATATTGCTATGAAATTAATGTCATGTCAGTGATATTCTTGGGTCCCCTATAGAAATTAGTAGATTTCTGGTGTGGAATGTCTACCCGAAACTCCTGGGCACAAAGAAGTCTCACAGACAAAACCACAAAAGATTAGCTCAGAATTCAAAATTAAGGAACATATGAGAAAACAGAGCTCAGATCCATAATCAAAACTAACAATATTAAAATCCCAAGGATTTTAAATATAGGGTCGACTGTGAAATAAACATATTTAAAATTATCTAAAGACAAAAAAAGAAGAAACAGAAACTATGAGGAAATAATATGTTTAAAAAAATAAAGATTAGGAAGATAGTTTTTTTTTTTAAATAAATAAAGGGGTAATCTGAACATAAAAATCACATTCATTGAAAGTAAAAAATGCACTTGATATGATGCCTAGTACATAGTGGAAGAGGAATAATCTGTTTTCCTCTGTAGTTTCAAAATCATACAATGAGGAAAAGATAGTTTTGTACAACTTAAAAATAATTCCAATGTCCATGAAGACATTGGAAAAGATAACCTAATTAAGAGCTGAATTATCCTAAAACAGTCCATTGAACTGGACTTTTTATTATAACTATTTGATCTTGAAGCTATATATA